GGAGGAGGGGTCACCGGGAGCCCCCTGGCCAYGAGGCTGAGGGGTCTGTGTGCCCGCAGTGCCCCTGGTGTCCAAGGTGTGTCCCAGTGACGTGTACCGMGTGTGGAAGCGCGGCGAGAGCCTGCGGGTGGACACCACCCTGCTGGGCTTTGAGCACATGACGTGGCAGCGCGGCCGCCGCAGCTACATCTTCAAGGGGGAAGGTCAGCTCCAACACCCCCGGAACCCTCCGGGACCCTTACAGCACCCCAAAACCCCTATRCACCATAAGTACACCCCTGTAAGGACCTATCTGGACACCCTGGGGGCCCTCCAGTCACCATCAGCAGCCCCAGATCCCCTGCACTATAAATCTCAGATCCTGTAGAGGAACCCCCAGGGATCCCAGTCCCCTCTCCTTAGGGGAACACCTCAGTCCTTACATGTACCAGGGACTCCCAGTTCCCCAGATCCTCCCTCCAGATTCCWGATCTCCCCACGGAGACCCCAGTTCCCCCTTCCTGAGGGGGCAGCCTCAACCCCTACATGTACCAGGGACTGAAGTCCCCTCGAGTGACCCCCAGTTACCCAGATTCTCTGTAGTGACTCCATGGGGACCCCAATTCTTCCTTCCTGAGGGCACGCCCCTAATGCCCTCACACCCCCCCCTAGTCCCCAGTGCCCCCCAGGCTGGCAGTGTCACAGGGTGCTGACCCTGCTGGTGTCCCCACGCAGACGAGGGGGCCGTGGTGATGGAGGTGGACCACGACAAGCAGGTGGTGTACACGGAGACGCTGGCGCTGGCCCTGCACGAGCCCGAGCTGCTGCTGGCGGCCATGCAGCCCACTGAGGAGCACGTGGCCGGCCGGCTCACCTCRCCCATCGTCTCCACACACCTGGACACCCGGAATATCGCCTTCGAGAGGTGGGAAAGGGCTGGGAAGGGTGGCGCTCAGCAGGAAGGGGCCGTGYGAGGGGGAGGTGCGGGTGAAGGGGAAGGAAATGCTGGTGCAAGAGGGTGATCTGAGGCCTCCCTGCTCCMCCAGGAACAAGTCTGGGATCTGGGGCTGGCGCTCGGAGAAGATGGAGATGGTCAGCGGCTACGAGGCCAAGGTGGGCACGGACAGGGGGGAATGCTGGGGACTCCCCATAGTGCAGCGGGGCTGACAGTGTCCCCACACAGGTGTACAGCGCCAGCAACGTGGAGCTGGTCACCAAGACCAGGACGGAGCATCTCTCTGACCAGGACAAGTCACGCAGCAAAGGTCAGCCAGTCAGGGCCTGTCCATGGTGGGAGCACGCCACTCTTCCTGGGTGGGACACGTGTGAGGCATGGCACAGTGGGTGTGGGGTGCTCTGGGTGTGGGGTGAGTGACTCTGGTCAGACTCTGGGACTCTGAGTGTGTGTGAGACTTGGGACACTGGCAATAACATGTGACAGACGTGGGACAGCATGCAGGGTGTCACCCATGAGGGATGTGACCCATGACAGCCCTGGGAGTCCCTCCCACTGCCCACACCTCACCCCTCTCCTCCCTCAGGCTCCAAGACCCCCTTCCATTCCTTCCTGGGCATCGCACAGCAGCATGGCACCCACAACGGGGTGAGTGGCCATCCCTGGGGTCCCTGGGGAAACTGGGGATCCCCAGAGGGGCTGAGYGGTGCTGTTATCCCTTCAGGCACCTGTCCTGCAGGCTGCCAGCCCCACCAACCCCACAGCCATCACCCCCGAGGAGTACTTTGACCCCCACTTCGACCTGGAGACCCGCAACATCGGGCGCCCCATCGAGATGTCCAGCAAGGTGCAGAGGTGAGGCCACCACCCCAAGGGGATGAGGTCAGGAACCAGGAGGTGGTGACAGGGTCCTGGGGATGTGGCACTGGGTGTCAGGACTTACAGGGGTGGAGATGGGGCCCCAGGGGACAGGACACCAAGTGACAGGAGACCTGGGGATGGTGCTGGGTCCCAGGGCAGTGACAGTGAGGCAGTGATGGGATGCCAGGGCAGTGGCACCAAGGGGGGGTGACAGGATCCTTGAGGCCGTGTCACTGGGAGTGATGCTGGGGTATGGTGCTGGGGTATGGTGGCACTGGGGTGGCCCCACTGGGTCCCCGTGCCCATGACSGTGCCCGGGCAGGTTCAAGGCGACGCTGTGGCTGTGCGAGCAGCACCCGCTGTCACTGGCTGAGCAGGTGACGCCCATCATCGACCTCATGGCCATCTCCAAYGCCCACTTCGCCAAACTGCGCGACTTCATCACCCTCAAGCTGCCCCCTGGCTTCCCCGTCAAGATTGGTGAGGGGGCGGGGCTTMATTTGGGGCGGGATTAATTAGATGCCGGTCTTAATTGGGGCCTTAATTGACCCCTGTRCCCGCAGAGATCCCCCTGTTCCACGTGCTCAACGCCCGCATCACCTTCAGCAACCTTTGTGGGTGCGACCAGCCCCTGGGTTCCGTGCGGATCTGTGCCCCCCAGGAGTCCCCTGGCGCCAACCCCGCTGGCACCCAGCCCTCTGGGCCCAGAGGTGAGGCTGGGAGGGCCAGGAGGGACCGGGAGGTGCCGGGATTCCATGGACACAGAGTGGCGTGGGCATGGGCGGTGTGGGGTGATGGGTACAGAGTGGCTGTGGCTGTGGGGTGATGTGGGGTGCCATGGAGTCCTGTGGGCACAATGTACCGTGCGTGTGGCGTGCCATGGGACACGGCGAGGTGCTGCGGGGACACTCGAGGGTGCTGAGGGTTCCCCATGCGCGGCAGCGTGGCCATTCCCGTGCGAGGTGGAGGCGGGCGTGTTCGAGGTGCCGGCGGGGTACACGGTGCTGGGCGCGGGGCGCAGCGAGCCCCTGCGGGACGAGGACGACGACCTGCTGCAGTTCGCCATCCAGCAGAGCCTGCTGGACGCCGGCACCGAGACCGACCAGGTACGGCCGCACCCGCCTCACCTGGACACGCCCTCCGTGCACCTGGACACGCCCCTCACCTGTGGCCACGCCCCACAGGTGACCATCTGGGAGGCGCTGACCAACACCCGCCCCGGCACAGAGCTGCCGCCCTACGACGAGGACCTGCAGCTGGAAAGGTGAGGTTCCATCCCTGGGGGTGTGGCCTGGGGTGCCACACCCACCTTACCTGGGTGGGGCTGAGGTGGGAGGGGCAGGGGTTAAAGGTGTCAGGGTGGGGCAGGTGCAGGGTCCAGGGGGTGCAGCTTATAGGGGCAGGGCTTAAAGGGGTCAAGATGTGGCCAGGGGAGGTGCTGAAGGGGAGGAGCTTCTTGCTACCCAAAGGCTGTGGTCATAATGGGCTAACTGCAGGTGTGGGTGTGGCTAGCAGCTGGGTGGGGCATGTGGGGTGGGGCGTGGTTAGCCAGCCTGATTCTGTGACGTCTGTGACGGAGGTGTGGCCACCTGGGGTGGGGCACAGGTGTSCCAGAGAGGGTGTGGCTTCTATGACATGGGCGTGGCCCCTGCTGCTGTCCCCTCTCCAGGGCCCTGCAGGAGAGCATGCTGCTGCAGGCCGGGCCCAGCGCCGAGCCCCCATCCGCCGAGAGCCCCCCTGGCGCGGGCGGCGGGAGCCCCCCGGGCCCCCCCGGCTACGGCAGCTTCGCGGAGCAGCTGCGCCTGGCCATGGCGCTCTCGGAGCGGGAGCAGGAGGAGCGGGAGCGGCGGCGGCGCGAGGAGGACGAGGAGCTCCAGCGCATCCTGCGCCTCTCCCTCACCGAAAAGTAGCGCCCCGGGGCGCTCCACGCCGGCACAGGGACGTCCCGCACGGGGACACGGGTGTCCCATGTGGGGTCACCCCACGCAGGGACGCAGATGTCCAGCGTGGGGACACCCCTTGCAGGGATAGGGACACCCCGCACAGGGGACACCCTGGTGTGGGCAGTGTCCCACACCGGGATGCCCCAGCGCCTCGGGAGCAGCCGGTGGCGGGGTGGCCCCCCCATGATGGGGACCCCCCTGATGTGGGCACAGCCCCTGCACAGGGGGATTTGATCCAGGGATTCTCCTACCCCCGGGACCCCCAATCCAGGGCTCTTCTCCCACCAGGCTCAAACCCAGCCGAGGGACCCTTACCTGGGGATGCCCCTATGCCCAGGACCCCTCCCTAGAGACCCCCCCTCCTCTTTGGTGTTGTACCGTGACCCCACGGGGGGCAGGGCGGACCCAGGGGATGCAGGTGACCCCTATTTTAAGGCACTCCAGTGTGGGGGGGCTGCCAGGGGACCCCCAGGCCTCATCCCTCGGGGCAGTGGGGGGGCAGGGGAGCCCCGAATGTCTGTACATATACATATACATATATATATATATATATATACACACGTGTGTCTGTGCGTGGGGCGTGATGGGCGCAGTGTCCTGGGATGGAGCCTGGGAAAAGGGGTGGATCCTGCATGTAGGGTGGGGCTCAGGTGATGGGGATCATCCAGTAAGCGTGCGGGCAGCACTAGTGGGGTGCTCCTCTTCAGCTCTCCCCAAATCTGGCCSTGTGCCCCCATTCCTGGCCCAAGGATTGATTTATTTCAGTTACATTACTTGGGAAAAGACCTGGGCCCAGAGAGGGGGAATTTGGGTGGGGACCCATGGGGTGACAAGGGATTCTTTGGGGGTAGCCTGCCGGGGMCACTCAGGGCATTCCCACCTGATGAAACATGGGGTGTCCCAGATACTGGGGACCCTCCGGGGGTTCACACTTTCTTGGKTCGGTGTCACATGTTCTGGGGAGCCGGCAGCGGGTCCCAAGTACCAGACACCCTCAGGGGATTCTCATACTCCGAGAAGCTGGGGGTGTCCCAAGTGCTGGAGTGTGAATCCTGCCTTGTCCACATGGACGTGGGTCCCGGCTAATCCCTGAGGGGGCTCCGGGCCACCGGGGAGGTCCCGCTCTGACGGAGGGTGGTCTGAGGGTTCCGGCTGCCGTGTTTCCCTGGCTGGGGGGCGGGGGAGGCCATGCCATGCCCGGGGCAGTGCCCGCTCCCGCTCCCGTTCCCGTTCCCGTCCGGGCGGGGCAGCGGCGGCGCTTCCTGGTGCGGGGGGGCGGCGCGGCGGGGCATGGCGCTGGTGACGGTGCGGCGGGCGGGGAGCTCCGCCGGGGGCCCCGCGGTGAGTGCGGCACCGGAACGAACCGGGACGGGACATCCCGGCGGGACGGGCCGGGGGRCGGGCCGGTGGTCCCGGAGTCCCGGGAGGTCCCGGTGCGGGCTGGCACGGGGGCTCTCGGCGGAGTACGGGCTGTCCCAGAGCCGTGGGGGCTCCCGGTGCCGGGTACGGGATGGGCCGGGGGCTCCCGGTGCTTCTGTGGGTCCCGGTGCCCCGGGAGGATGGGGCGGTCCGGGGGATCCCGGTGTGGGGAGTAGGGGCTGTCCCGAGGTTTCTCGGTGCCCCGGGGGTTCCCGGCGCTCCGGAAGGTCCCAGTGCGGAAGATCCCGTTGTCCCGGGGGTTCCAGCGCGGAGGTGGAAGGGGGAAGGTTGCTCTGGCCGCTCCCGGTGCGGGGTTATCCCAGGGGATTCCGATGGGACTTTACCGGGAGTTTGCTGGGAGCCGAGTTGCCCTTGGCACGCATTGGAGTTTCCTCTGCTCCCGGCTCAGGAGCACATAGTTAAGGGAGGTATATGGGGTGTGGAAGGGAGGGCTGTCGTCCCAAGTTGCTCACCACTTTCCCTGCTGTTCCAGTGTCCCCCAGTGTTCTCCCCCCGCTTCCAGTAACCACTGAGCCTTTTCTGGRTGCTCCTCCCAGGCCCCCGCTTCCAGCACTTCCACCCAAACAGGGGTGGGGGACACAGGGATAGGAACCTCCTGCCATCCCAAGGGGTGTCCCCATGGATCCATCTCCCCAGTGGGACCCCCAAAGAGCCCCCATGTTCCCTGTTGGGCCCTCACTGTTTGGTGGTGGGGGKTTAGGGGTTCACTGGACTGTGGTATCTGTGCTGGGATTCCTGAGCCTGGTCCATGCCCCACGGTCACACTCACCCCAGGAACTGTCCCCCAATTTGCAGGAGGAAGATGCTCCCAGACGTGGACAGCTGCAGCGGCGGTGAGAGGGGCTCCAAAGCCCCAGGGTGGAGGACACTGGGGTGGGGAGGGGACACAGGTGCCCACCAGCTCTGTCCCCCATGGGGGGAACATTCTGGGAGTGCCCTGGGTGCTCAGGACCCTCCTGCTCCCCAGGCAGAGCTTTGTCATGGTCAAGGGGGCGGCACGGCTGCTGCCTGCAGAGGAGCCCTTCCCAGCTGAGCCCCCTCCGATCGAGCCAGCCCCGGCTGAGCCCCCCACGGTTGAGGCCTCCAGCCAGGCCCCAGGACAGCAGGAGCRGCACCTGCACCTCATGATGCAGCTGCTGCGCCCCCAGGATGCCATCCGGCTGGTAGGGCATGGATCCCCTCTCCGGGAACTTGAGGGTGGCATGGGAACATGGAAAGAGATGGATGGGGACAGCAATGGGGACAGGATGGTGATGGGATATGGATGGGGACAAGATGGGGATAGAAAAGGGATGGGACAGGACAGGATGGGCTGGGCTGAGCATGGGGATGAGATGGAATGAAGTTGGGGACAGGATGGGGACAGCATGGGACAGGACAGGATTGGGATGGAAACAGGAACATCGAGGAGGGGTATGGGAATGCAATACGGATGGGACGGGGACAGGGATGGAGCGGGATGTGATGAGGAAGGCGTATGGCCCAGCCTAATGCTCCTCCCTGGTCACTGGGAGCACTGGGAGCACTGGGAGCATTGGGAAGGGCAGATCCCTCCTCCAATACCACCTTTCTGGCAGGCGGTGCGGCTGGAGTCAGCGCGGCCACGGCGGGTGCGGTACCTGCTGGTGGTGCGGCCGGAGGAGCCGGGAGCTGAGGTGGAGACGGCGCTGCTGGGAGTGGATTTCGCCCACGAGGGGTGAGCGGGGCGTGGGGGGGGTCCGGGGGGGCGTCAGCACCCCCTGACCTCTGCCCGYCCCAGGGCCACCCGCTGCACTCTGGGCATGGTGCTGCCCCTCTGGAGCGACACCCAGGTGTTCCTCGACGGTGACGGGTAAGGGTGGGACGGAATTCTGGGCAGTGGGGTGGCTTGGAGAAGTTGGAGTGCCCACCCTGACCCACATGTGTCCCTCTGGTGCCCAGGGGGTTCAGTGTGACATCAGGGGGASAGACCCGCATCTTCAAGCCCATCTCTGTGCAAACCATGTGGTGAGCGAGGCGCGGGTGTGACCGGGGCATGGGGGCAGTGGGCACCACCATGGGCACAGGGGGTCTGGGTTCCATGGTGAGTACAAGGTGGGTTGGGCATTGCCTCAGGGACTGGGGTCATAGGCACTGCCACGGGCAGGGGGCATCTGAGCACTACAACAGGCACGGGGGATGTGGCACTGCAATGGACACAAGKGATGCTGTCACCTTCCTGGGCATGGGGAGGTGGGCACAGGGGTTTTGGGCATCACCACCATAGGCACCACCATGGGCACAGTCAGGATGAAGGGGCTGGGGGGGGTGGGTGGCACCCACACCCTGCGGACAGCCAGTGCAGGGGACACGGCTGTTGGGATGGTGTCGGGGTGGCGGTGGCAGTGCAGGGCTGGCAGGTGCTGTGTGGCAGGGCCGTGCTGCAGGAGCTGCACCGTGCCTGCGAGGACGCGGCCCGGGGCGGGCACATCCCCGGCGGCCCCGCACTGGCCTGGGCCCGCGGCTACGCGGCGGCGCTGGGCTCGGAGCAGAGCTGCCTCAACGAGTGGCTGGCCATGGCCGACCTCGAGTCCGTGCGCCCCTCCTCGCCCACGTCCCTCCGGTAAGCTCCTTGCCGTGCCCCTGCCACGCCCCACGGYCTGCTGGCCAATCGCTGCTGCACCCGGCAGGGCGTGGCCTGGGTGGGRCAGGTGACACCAGTGACAAGGTGTCGCCTGTGCCAGCCCAGCAATGCCGGAGCTGTCGGAACAGGCGGTGCGAGCGCTGCTGCGGGACGTGATGGCCACTGCCGAYCTGGAGAATGTCACCTCCAAGGAGGTGGGTGGCACCAGGCAGGGTGTTCTGGGGAAGGGTAAGGCTGGGCAGAGCCATCCCTCACYCAGGGAGGTGTCCAGGTGCGGGAGGAGCTGGAGCGGCGCACGGGGCACAGCCTGGCCGAGCACAAGGATTTCATCGACAACGAGATGCTGCTGGTGCTGGCGCAGATGGATCGACCTTCCCGGGTCTTCCCGCACCTCTTCCTGGTGGGCAGCAGGGTGGGCGGGGCAGGCGGGGTGGGTGGCAGTGTCACCCCCCCTCACTGCTGTCACCATACAGGGCTCCGAGTGGAACGCGGCCAACCTGGAGGAGCTGCAGCAGAATAGGTGAGCATGGGGTGTCACTGTCATGGAGTGGCACGGGGTCATCATGGGGTGCCACTGGGGTGTCACTGCGTCACCACAGGGTCACCCACATCCTGAACGTGGCACGGGAGATCGACAACTTCTTCCCGGCACTGTTCACGTACATGAACGTGCGTGTGTATGACGAGGAGGCGGCCCAGCTCCTGCCCCACTGGAACGACACCTTCCTCTTCCTGTCCCGTGTCCGGTCAGTGGGCACGGGGGGTGACACCAGCGGGGACATCGGGGGCACAGAGGGGCAGGGGCTGGAGGTGGGGCAGGGGAGACTGAGACATGGGAAGGGGTCTTGATGAATGAGGTGCTGGAATGTGTTGGGAGCTGGGGAGCTCTGGAGCATGAAATCCGTGGGGAAACCAGGGGTCACTGGGAGCTCTGGGGACACTGGGGTGACTGTGGGATGCTGGGAGCCCCGAGGACACAGTGTCCTCGAGTGTCCCCCGTGCTGTGGTGCCAGCAGTGGGTGTCACAGGGCGGCGGGGGGCCGAGCACTGGTGCACTGCCGGATGGGGCTGAGCCGCTCGGCCGCCACGGTGCTGGCCTACGCCATGAAGGAGTTCGGCTGGTCCCTGGAGCGGGCACTGCGGCATGTCCGGCACTGCCGGCCCGACGTCCTGCCCAACCCCGGCTTCATGCGCCAGCTCGACTTCTACCAGGGCATCCTCAATGCCAGGTGGGTGGGGCAAATGGGTGGGACAGGTGGGTGGGGCAGGTGGGTGGGGTCAGGTGGGTGGGGTCTGCCTCTGTGGGATGAGAGGGTGGGACCTGTTGTGGCCCTTAGTGCAGAGTGGGTGGGCTTCTATGGCCATGCCCTGGCAGATAGGTATGAATGCTGTGGGGGAAGAGCCTATGGGAGCCCCACCCTGCCCCTGAAGGGGTGTGGGTCTGGGGGGCATGGCCGTGCTGAGTGGCAGGTCTGTGGCAGCCGGCACAGCAGCCTGTGGGAGCCCCGGGCGGCTGAGCAGGCAACACACGCTGAGGAGGACATCGTGAGGGACACGAGTGGCCTRTCCCCGCTGTCCTCGCCGCTGGTGTCCCCACAACCCCTTGAGGAGGAGGCAGCTAGCGGGGGGCTGCTGGGGGCCTCCCCGCGGCCCCGCATATCCCTGTGCGCCGTCATGCGGAGCATCAGCCTGCTGGAGTCCCCTGAACCCCCCGAGCTGCTGGGGGACCCTCTGGCCGGGGAGGTGAGTGGCAGCTGCGGTGGGACGCGGGGTGTGGCCGCTGGGTGACAGCAGCATAGGATGACCCTGCCGTGCCCCCGCAGGTGTTTGAGGCCGTGGAGGGAGCAGGAGGTCCCTCGCCGAGGTCACGACCCTCGTCCCGCCCGCGGGGGGTGGTGCGCCAGGCCAGCCTGGATGGCGGCCCTGCCCCCTTCGGTGACCACACCCATACTGACAGCCACGCCCAGTGCCACACCCAGGTGCCTGACCRCGCCCACGCTGATGAACCCACCCCCTAATTTGTGGGGGGCATAGGGCAGAGCCCCTTCGCTTCCATGGCAGCACGGCGACGGAGCGGGGCCTACGGCTGGAGGCGCGGCCAGCGCCCCGCGCTCACTCTGGGGGTGGGAGGTACCTCTGCCTCAGCCCCCCACGCACAGACCTCCGACACCGCTCCTGCACTGGCAATAAAGTGTAGAAATGGCAGCCCCTGATGGCTTTGTGCGGTGGGGTGCCGTCAGCAGGGACCGGAGCGAACGCTTTGAAGGCTGAGGGAGGCAGGCGAGCACTGGACCCGGCGGCGCCATGTTGTGCGGCGCGGCGGGAACTACAACTCCCGGCAGCCCTTGAGCGGGAATACGCCACTTCCGGGTTGCCAAGGCAACCGTTGCGGCCTAGGCCCGGACTGGAGCCTGGGCTGGAATTGGTGCTGGAATTGGGGCTGGAATTGGTGCTGGAATTGGGGCTGGAATTGGTGCTGGAATTGGGGCTGGGATTGGGGCTGGGATTGGTGCTGGAAGCGGGACCAAGGAGTGAAGTGGGCAAACAGTCCGTAGCCTGCTGTGATCGTGGCAGTGGGGCAGGCCAGGCACCGCACCACCACCCTCTATCATGGTATCATCCTCTTGCCACCATGGCATCCCCTTGTGTCGTGTCACCCCTGACCAAMRGGACACCTTCCACTAGCCCAAGCTGCTCCAAGCCCCACCCAGCCCGGCCTGGAACACCTCCAGGTTAGAGCACCCACAGCTCTTCTGGATAACCTACGCCAGGGCCTCACCACCCTCACAGGGAGGAATTTCTTCCCAAAATCTCACCTAAACCCACTTCACCAGGGAAGGAGGTTCCTGAGGAACTGTCCCTGAGGCTGTGGSTGTCCATCTCCTTGGGCTGTTCCTATGGCTGGAGCCATCCCAGACACTTCCCCCTTTCCTGGGACAGATACCTGGGCCTGACCCTCTGCCAAGGAAGGAGCATGGGAATCTCCCTCCTTCTTCCCACCAGGAGGGAACAACCCTAGGCTGGCTGGGTGTGGGGTACTTATTTTTGGGGGTGAGGTACTTATATTTTGGGGTACTTATATTTAAACACCTCCATTGGTGCCCAGCAGAGGAATCGTGTTCCTGTGGAAAATACCCAAGGCACTGAAGTTCCGACACTGGGACAAGATCCAGCCAGATAAGGCAACCCAGAGGGCTGTGGGATGGGGGCTGTGAGTGGTCCCCCACCCATCCCACTCCCACCTTATCCTGGGTTAGTGCCGGCTCCAACGCTCCATTGCAGCCTTGGGATAGAAACGATTGATTTTATTGATGAAGCAACAGAAAAAGCTGGTGAATGAAGACATCATTAACCTGAATAATTAACAGACACATCCTGTTATTTATGACTCTGCACACAGCAAAGGTGCTAATTAAGGCTATTAAATATACAAATCCCACAGGACACTCACCCTTCCCACCCCACAACATCACCACAAACCACAGCCATATCCCTCATCCCCCCATGCTCACTTTCACCTGATTTTATATGTGATCCTCAATTTTTCTCCCCCCCATTTCTGGGGGGGGAAATCCCATCTCCTTTTCTCCACCCAAGAATTGATTTTTCACCCTGCGTCCCAGTTGGGTGGCATTAAACTCTGTGACTGGACACCCTGCGTGGCTCTTTTTTTGGAGCCATCCCGTGCCCCCCGCCCTCCCCAGAGAGCACACAGCACCCCTTCCTTCGCTCACACCAGCTTTAATCCGCCCGGTGTCCCTGGAATGGGGTCTGGGGGTGTCGGGAACGGTCCCACCCCATTCCCTCGGCGCGGCGGCTCAGRGGATCAGAGCTCGTACTCATGCCAGAGGCTGCGGGGGCACAACGCGGGTCAGCGGGGAGGGCGGGGGGCACCGGGAGAAGCTGCCCTGTGCCCCCATCCCACACCCACCTGTAGGTGACATCAGGGTTGTCCCGGTGCTCCAGGAGGGCGTCACGGATGGAGCCGGGGGGGCTCAGCCCCAACTCTTGTGCCCGCTCCCAGCGCTGAAGGCGGGTGATCCCTGCGGGATACCGGGAGGGTGAGCGGGGCCGGGAGAGCCCGGGACYACCGGGACACCCGGGACAACCGGGGGAACTGGGAGAACTGGGATTTCCGCGGGCGCTCACCGGTGCAGGGTCCGAATTCCCAGGAGAGGTCGAAGCGCCGCAGCATCTCCAGGAGCGCCGGGTCCGGAGCGGCCTGCGAGGGAGGGTGGGGACAGTCCCGCACGTTCACCTGCACCTTGTCCTTGTCCTTCTTGTCCTTCTTGTCCTTGAGCCTGCCCGGGGGCCGCCCCGGGCCCCGCCGCCGCCGCCGCGGGAAGGAGTCGGTGATGCGCCGGGCTTGTTCCATGGCCCTGCGCGACATGGAGCTGGCACGGSCACAGCGCTACCGGGAACCGGGCGGGACCCGCCGCTACCGGGAACCCGCAGGGACCCGCCCCTGYCCGTGGCCGGGCGGAAGCGGCGGGGCCGGACTGGGGAACCGGCCACGGGCACCGTCGGCCGCTCCCGCTGTCACGGTGGTCCCGGTCCCCCCTCCCCCTGAGTGTCCCCCGCACCCGCCGCGTTATCACCCCCGCGGCAGTTCCTGTGGCCCTGAGGGCGTTGTCACCTCCATCTCAGTGTTTGTTCCCTATTACCCCAGCACTGTCGCTCCTGTGACAGTTCCTGTCCCCCTGGGCATTGTCCTGCCCACCACCCTCTGGCACTGTCACCCCTGTGGTTCTCCCTGCCCCTGTCGACATTGCCACCCCCGTGCCAGCATTCCTTATCACCCTGGATACTGTCACCCCCGCTGTCTGTCCCCATCAGTCCCCCAAACCATGACTCACGCTGTGACACAGTCACCCTCTGCCCTGTCCCACTCTGTCCTGTGTGTCACTGTCTGTCCCTCCAGTGCCACCACCCCCAGCTGTGGTGACACTGTCCTGCGTGGGGGGGGTGACACTGCAGGTGCCACCAGTGCAGATTTGCCTGAGGCTTTCAGCCCTCCCCGGGGAAGCCGAGAATAGCTGGGGTGCATGCCCTGGAACAGGGTGACACGTGAGCCGCCAAGCCGTGTCCCTGCTGTAACGGTCAGCGCTGGGGGGACACACAACTCCACAGCAGCCATCAGAGATTCCACACCGCTCTTTAATTTTAAAAGCTTTTTAATTAGCTTTTCCCTGGTGTGGAGAAGGGACAGCAGGGCCTCAGGGCTCGTCCCTGTCCAGGCTGGGATTGTGCAGGATGTAGCGGCAGACCCCGGGCAGGCGCTGGTGGCCCAGCATCTCCTGCAGCTGCTGCATGGGCCGGTTCGCCAGCGCCGTGTGCCCGAAGGTGGGGAACCCCCGGGCCTGYGCCCGCTGCGCCGCCACCGTCAGTGCCACCTGCATGTGGCCGTGCCGCCGGTGCTCGGGCAGGGTGTAGCTGTGGGTGCCCGTGCCGAAATGATCCGTCAGCACCCATGCGATGGGCTGCCCGCTGCCGTCCTGCAGGCAGACGTGCGGGAAGCGCCCCAAAATCTCGGCCAGGTAGCGCCGGCTGCGGGCGTTCCCCCCGTAGGGCCACGTGTCGTTGAGCAGGTCCACGTGCGAGGGCTGCAGGGAGCCCACCCGCACCCCGGGGGCCAGCCTGGGCGAGGCAGGGGTCAGTGGGGGCTCAGGGGTGTCCCCACGGGGGGACAGGGGTCAGTGGGGGCTCTCACCGGGGCTTGGGCATGGTGCTGGGGTCAGGATGCCAGTAGGAATAGTACTCGACGATGTCCAGTTCTACGCCCTTGCTCCCCGCCAGGTCCTGGGACACTGTGGTCACCCCGTCCTGCAGCCCTGGGGATGGTGATGTCAGGGGGTCCTGCTCCTCCTGCAGCCCGCTACCCCTGTCCCAAACCCCGCTGTGTGACCCCAGTGTACCCCTTAGCATTCCCAGGGGCTACCTGCAACCCCAGCACACAAATCCCTGCTCCCAGKGTGCCCAGTACCCCAATCCCGCTCCCAGCACCCCCAAATCTGACCATAGCACTCCCCAGTACCCCCAAGGACCCACAAATCCAACTGCAATGCCCCCAGTGCTCCTCACCACCCAAACACCCATCCCCAGCATCCCCCAACACCCCCAGTTCCTTCCACCAGTATCTCCCAATGCCCCCAGTTCCTCCCTGCCTCCAACAGCTCCCCCAGTGTCTCACACTCCCAGTGCTGCCTGGCACCCCTCATGGCAAGCCCAGTCTCTCCCCAGGACCCCCCCAAGACCCCCGTGTCCCCAGGCCACCGATGAGGGTGAAGGCGACGTCCCARCGCAGGCACCCAGGGGTCTCCAGCAGCGCCCGGTACGCTCCCAGGTCCCGGTAAAACGCTGTCTGCGTGTTCCAGTAGCCATCGTTCACCGGCACCTGCAGACACCCATGGGTGCCCTGAGCACCGTGTCACACCMTTCCCTTGCAGTGCCCTGTGTCCCCCCAGGCCACCTCTCCACTGGGCCGGGCCAGCACGGCACCAAAATCAGGCCACTTGTCCACCAGCACCTCGAACTGGCCAGGATTGCCCCGAGTGATGTTCAGCACTGCCCCGAAGACCTGGGGGAGAGGGGGGGTCAACAATGAGGGACAAGGAGGGGACAGGTGGGGGGACATGGGGTCAGATGTTGGGTCACAGCTGGGAGGGGTTGTGGGGGCACAGGCGAGGGCAGAGCTGAGGGGAGAGGGGCAGGTGTGGGGGTCAGGGTGACAAAAGGGTCCCTAGTGACACACAGGACCCCATCACTGGGGCAAGAGGTGGGGGTGACACTGGGGTCCCAGCCATGGCACAAAGCAGGGGTGACACTGGGGTCCCTGTTGCAGGGATGAGAGCAGTGTGCCTGTCACTGGGAGGGTGGGGGTGACATTGGGGTCCCCATCATGGCACAGGGCAGGGGTGGCAGCGGGGTCCCCATCACCGGCAGGGCAAGGGGCAGGCTCTTCCTTAGGATCCCCTCCAGGCGCTGCAGCTGGGCTGGGCACGTCAGGATCTGCATGGTCCTGCTGAGAGACCCTCAGTAGCAGGGCGACAGGACAGCCAGGCATGGCCCCTGTCCTTGTCCCCATCCCYRTSCCATCCCAGGCCTGCATAGACCCCAGCTCCTCCAGCACTCACCCTGTAACAATCCTGAGTCTGTGGGTGCCAGGGGGCCCTGGTGTGGCAGTCTGGAGACCGTGAGGTACTCGGTGACAAGGGTTACCACCAGCTGTCACGGGCCAGCAAGCACCCCCTGCCTTGAGGGGCAGTGGGCAGGGTCCATTCTGYTGGACACTGGGCACTGGGCACCGGGCCAGCACCATGGCTGCCTGGGGACGGGTGCTCGGCTGGGACACTCTGGGACATTGCCCCAGYGAGCTGGGAGCTCTGCTGGGACACTGCCCTGGTGCCACCAACGTCCACAGATCCTCGCTGTTACTGCCTGCCCCACTGTCACGGAGCCATGCTGATCCTGAGGTGCCCGGCCCAGCTGCAGCTCCTGGAGGAGACCCTGCGGAAGAGCCTGCCCACCACCCTGCCGGTGACAGGGACCCTGAGGACCCCTCTGTCCCCTCTGCCCTGTCCTGCTGGTGACAGAGTCCTCAGGGACCCCTTGGTTCCCTCCCTTCCACTCTGCCCGTAATGGGGACCCTAGGGACCCCTGTGTCCCTTCACCCTTGCCCTGTCAGGGCTGTTGACTCCCAAGACCCTTCTGTCCCCTCTCCCCTGCTGATGGCACTGTCCCTGGAGACTTCTCTGTCTTCTCTCCCGCTACTGATGGGGACCCTGAGACCCCCTCTGCCTCCCCACATGTCCTGCTGGTGATAGGGACCCTCTGTCCCCTCTCCCCTGCCTTATTTCTCCTTCTCCCTGYTGGTGATGGTACCCCAGGGACTCTGGGGACTCCTCTGTCCCCTCTTCCCTGGCCTGCCAGTGACAACCACCCCGTCCTGCAGGTCCTGGGGACTGTGATGATGGTGGCTAGGGGGAACCCAGCCTCCCACGAGGTGCTGGTGGACTCCTGGCCCCATTTCGGCRTTGTCCTGACCCGCCTGCGGCCAGAGGTGCTGCCCCAGGAGCCCCTGTTGTGGCAGCAGCACCCCATACCCTGGGGGGCAGATGATTGGGGTGCCACCCTCAGCCCCATGTCACCCCTAGGAGCACAGGGACCCCAGGGACTACTACACCAACCAGCTGGCCGTGTTCTACCGGGACGAGGGGGCCCTGCGGGCACTGCTGCGGGGAACCGAGGCGGTGGCTCATGCACGGGCCTTCCAGATAACGGGTAAGGATGGCACTGGGCGGGGACATGGGGACCCTCTGCCTGCTGTGTCCTGCCCAGCTGACAGGGGGTCCCAGGGCTGCAGGAGGGGCTGGAGGAGGCCGTGCAGGAGGTGGCCAGTGCCAGGGGGCTGAAGGTGGAGACGATCCAGTACCGGGTGCTGATGAGCCCTGAGGCCCCCCGGCCCCGCGGGCAGTAAGTGAGGGGCACTGGGGACACGTGGGGCACTGGGGAGGACATGGGCACCAGGGATCCAGTCACACCCCTGGGTGGCACAGAGGGATCTGTCACATTTGTGGGTAGCGCAGGGGGGTCATAGTCACCTCCCTTGGTGGCATGGGGGTCTCTGAACACATTCCTGGGTGGCACAGGGATCACTGGGTGACACGGGTGGGCACACTGAGCACATCCCTGGGTGGCACAGGGATCACTGGGTGACATGGGTGGGTCCACTCAGCACATCCCTGGGTGGCACAGGGATCACTGGGTGACATGGGTGGGCACACTGAGCACATCCCTGGGTGGCACAGTCCCATCCCTAAGTGGCATAGGCATCCCTAATCCCATTCCTGGGTGGCACAGG